TTTTTTTTTTCATTTTCATTTTCTTCTTCTTCCATTCTTCAAGTCTTTCTTTTTTTCTTTCTTTCCGAATGATCGGCCTTTCGGTGGGCTCCAACGGCGGAACCTGTTGCCAGTTGTCTCTACTTTCATAGTCCCGGGTCTTTCGGCCTTGTACTTGGTTTTCGTTTCCGCCCTTCTGAAGACTCGTTGGCACCCGGAGGTCTATCTAATGTGTGTCATAGCCTTCGGTCCACTTACTGTAGGTTTCCATGTGAATGCATGTACTTTGGATCTTTACCAAAATGCGCTCGTAGATGTTTGCCGTTTGGACGGTTGTGTAGGTCTGTAGGTGCGTGGTGCGTTGTACGCTTATGGAAGTTGGGTACAAGTAGGTCACTCGTTGAATTAGGGGTTGTTGTCGTTGCTTTTCTTGCCACGGGCTTGGTGGAGGTCCCATTGTCTGTCTGTTCTGTTGTTGTGGACATGTGCGCAAACCATCACAGTATCAGTATGTGAGTGTACACTAAGTGTGTTTGTTGTTTCCTTTCTCTGGCTCTACATTGTTTCATCCAGTGACCTGTAATTTATATGCTTGGTTTGTTAGCATCAACCCCTCTTTTCCCTCTTCCACGTGTGCACGCGCTTCTCTCTTTCCCACCCTCTGTCTATCTGTCTATTCTATGTTGCAGTCCTGACCAATTTCAGAGTGTTCACTCGGCAGAAAGTTCAATGGCGTCCAATTGCAAAAAGAATTGTTTAAGCATGAGGGGAGAGAGAGAGAAAAAGGTCATTCTGAATCCTGCTTCCTCCCCTCTTATTCAAACAAGAAAGAACAATAATAATGTTGAATGGCTGAACATCATCTATGTTGCATTGACGAATCTCTACCGCAGGAAGAAATTCTGCATAGGTCAAAGATATGCATGGACAACACAAAGCAGTTTTGTGGTCTGTCTGCTCCGTTTGTTGTGTCTGTTTGTCTGTCCATCTGTCTGTCGGTCTGCTCTGGTTTGTATGTCTATCCGTCTGTCTGTTTGTCAGTTTGTCTGTCTGTCGCCTTGTTTGGTCATTCAGTCAGTCAGTCAGTCAGTTTGTTAGTCTGTTTGTCTGTATGTCTCTCCGTCTGTTTGTCTGTCTGTTTGTCTGTCTGTCTGTCTGTCCGTCTGTTTGTTTGTCTGTCTGTCTGGTCTGTAAGTGGATGAACCAGAATGAAAGGTTGTCTGATGGTCCAACATGCCTGTGCGCGCGTGTGTGTGTGTGTGTGTGTGTGTGTGTGTGTGTGTGTGTGTGTGTGTGTGTGTGTGTTCGTCTGTCTGTTTGTCAGTTTGTCTGTTTGTCCCCTTGTCTGGTCATTCAGTCATTCAGTCAGTCTGTCAGTCAGTCTGTTTGTTTGTATGTCTCTCCGTCTGTTTGTCCGTCTGTCTGTCTATCTGTCTGTCTGTCTGTCTGTCCGTCTGTTTGTCTGTTTGTTTGTCTGTCTGGTCTGTAAGTGGATGAACCAGAATGAAAGGTTGTCTGATGGTCCAACATGTGTGTGTGTGTATGTGTGTGTGTGTGTGTGTCTGTCTGTCCGTCTGTCTGTCTATCTGTCTGTCTGTTTGTCTGTTTGTCTGTGTGTCTGTCTGTCTGTCTCTTTCTTTCTTTGTTTCTTTCGTTCTTTCTTTCTTTTTTTGTCTAACATGTTTCGTTCTTTTTTTTTTTTTTTTTTTTTTTTTTTTTTTTTTTTTTTTTTTTTTTTTTTTTTTTTTTTTTTTTTTTTTTTTTTTTTTTTTTTTTTTT